ACTTAAACTCTGCCTCACGGTCCCCTCGTCCCTTGGAAGAGGCGGAGAGGTGGGTGTTTGTCATCTGCTGGTGGACTACCGGAGAGAATTACAGCGAGGAAGGGATTGCAATGAATAACAGCAGCAGGAGCAAACCCTTGCCCCGGGGAGGGAGAAAAAGAGCCACAGCGGAGAATAAACAAAAGGGCAACCATGGCAACCATGCGCCGGAAGTCTTCTTCGCTGCCTTTGTGGCAGACTACAGCGCCACTTACAGGCCTGGCATATGTACTACAGCGTCTACAGCGCTTTCGAGCGGCAATGGCCGGCGGTGGCCCAACCCCACATTCCCCTGATAGGTGGAGAGTTGGCCATATAGGCGGAGCACCACTTCTGTGACGTAGAAAATAATTCAAATCTGGATCAGTCTGTATCAGATCCGTTGCAGCCCCGTTTTTAGAGATTTGGGTATGGAGGAAAATAGAGAGGGTTGTGTTTTCTGACACTTGGTGAGTTCCCTGGAACACCGGGGACACATATTCATGTATAAATATATATATATAGGTATTAAAAAATAAATAAATAAAACACATAATGTTTACCAAATGTACAGGAAAAAGATAAATGTTTTGTTTGCTATGTTGCAAAGGAACTAACCGTAACCCTAACCCACATTGCTTTGTATCAACCTCAATACACCACAGACTTTAAACTCTAAATCTTACCCCCCTCATCCAGCTTTGCTATTTAGTTGACCTACAGCCCTAATACTCTGTTGTACTTCCTTTGTGTTAATTCATTCAGCTGTCTACTGGAGCCCCTCTCCTTTGTCTTGTTTAAAGCCTAGTGTTAGGAGTATGTGTTACATCAGCTCCCCCATTCACATTTTCTCCGACAGTCTAAGGATCAGACGGGCATCTCTCCAGTCACAAGGCCATTTCTTTAACCTCATGTCTAATCGTCGCCCCTGTTATGCCCCTGTATGGCAGCAAAGTGCATTCCTCTGCTGTGAGGCCGGCGGTGTGTTAGTGTTTCCACACTTTTATTAAAACCCTGATGGAATGTGAAAAAATAGCTCCTGTGTCAAAAAGGCCGGGCGCCAGTTAAAAAACAAAAAAACTAGCTGTAGGAATGTTTAATTCATTGCGACTGTGAGATAAAGATACTACATGGAGGCAGTGAGTGATATGTTTGCTTGAGCTTGTCTGAAAAATATCTGAAGAATATTATGTTCTACATTTCTTCAGGTAAAAAGTGAATTATGAGTCCATCATATTAATTTATCAGTTTTACCTGAACATATTTGAGGTACAATTGAGGCAGTTTTACACAACCACAGTGCTTTACCTTGCTCAAAGTGTTAAATGATCTCATGGCTGGATAGCTCATGATTTATTACTCTTTAACAAATCTTTCACTTATCATGATTCACTTGTTTCATAAATGTGTTATTAACTTCACTACAGTGTAACCAACAATAGCTGATAAGATTGTATTGTGAGGGAGTGGATTATATGCTAAAGGTTGTTAGCTCAGTAAGTCAATAAAGGAGGACTAGGTATAGCATTGTTTCTGATTAAATGAATGGAAGATCCTGCTTCTCCTATGATTGCAAAGTTCCTCATGGCAATCAAACACTAATTAAAAAAACTAAAATATAACAAATAAAAGGTTGAAAATGTCAGTTTAAATAACCATTTTATCCACATGCAGTAGAATCACCAGACCTACGCAGTGTGTTTGCTGCAGACAGAGAAACAGTAGAGAGTGTAGAAGGGTCTTTTAGGGACAAAAAGCTGGCACGATATTTGATTGGACCTCTGAGATAAATGTGTGTTTAGCAGTGTGAGACTCAAAGTGCTCACTCATGCTAAGAACATTAGTTAGTGTTGAAAACGCTAGTGTGGAAATAAATATTAGTGTTGAAATAATAAACACGGTTTCACAATTATATTGATTTAATCTAGAGCTGAGCAGAGCCGCCGTCCCACAGACACTAATGTCCTGTAGCATCAACACTAAAATATTATATAGTGTTGAGAACAGCTTTAAGGGATCGTCATCCATTAAAGAATAACAACTATTCATGAACTGTTTGATAAGTGTGACTGTAGAGAAGCATTTTTTCTAATGCTTTTATAGTGAAAATAATAGATTAACTAAGTAAGACCTGTCTACTGTATTGTTTCTACTTTTTTCAAATTCATACTTGTTTCTCCTGATTTTACAATTGACCCCTTTGTGTCAAACTGTTACACACACAGCATCCTGTTAACAGACTAAGAATAAGAAGGAAGAGGAAAAGGAAATGTTTTGTTTGCCCTTCCTCTGCAATTATCACTCCTTTTTTGGAAACACTCTCTGACTTGATAGGTCCTTTGCTCTCCTGACGGCCACCTTGATCGTACGAAATCTCTTCTTTTAATTCTTCCTGTTTGTTTCATTGTAATCTGTTTCTCTCCACAAACCTGATTTAATTCTCTTTTTGTCGTCTCCTTCCTGCTTTTCCTCTCCATCTCCGGCCTCTCCAGAGTCAGTTCATGCTGAACAGCTTAAAAATCAAAGTATAAACAAAACCTTGGCAGGATATAGTGATAGCCCTCCTCTGAATCCCCTTTGTTTCTCTCAATCCATCCAACCAGGCAAGCCCGGCCAGGAAAAATCCAGGCTTCATGTTCTCTTTTCTCCTTCCTTTGGGACAGATTGTCTTTTTTAACAGGCATTATTACATCTGTGTATCTCTTTATAGAGTAAAGCTCAGGTTTAAAGCAAACAAGGCAGTGTTATGTTACCTGGAGACACTCACATTTGTGGTTGCTATGTACATTAGTGAGTACATTACTTTTACGGTTTACCTGATGCCTCACTAAGCACCGTGATTTTTGTGATCAATAGTAATACGTGGACAAATCCTGCTACTGCCTTTTCAACACAAAAGAGTCTTCTTAAAAGGAAAATCTAAGTTTATTTCAAAACCAAGCCTTTATATAAGATGTATTAAACTGTAAAAAGAAGGACTGACATCTTGATGAGTTGGAAATGAATTAACTAACTGCAGGTTGTGTTATGGAGCAGGTCAAACACACAAAACTGTATTTAACGGTAACACTTGACAAGACGGATTTGTTTGTTGTAACCTAATCATTTTAAATGGTGTGCTTAAAATAATTGTAAACCACAACACTACACTTGTTACCTTCCACGTTGCAATTTAATCCAGTCCAGTACACAACAAATGAGACAAACTTGCTTTTGATAACATTGTCACTATTCACTTAACCAGTGTATCATTTTCCCTTTGGCACATTTTTTGGTTTTAGCTATATATCAGTTTTGTTCAGACTTCTTAAAATCTCTCCTTAGTGACGCATTCATTTGTGGTATAATTGCAACCAAGCAAATATGGACATCGTGTAAAATAATGGATTGTTTTTTTTCATCCATTAAACATCGTCAGATTTCAGAGTGTCCTTGAATGCACCAACGGGCAGATTTTTTAAATTGCCTGCTGCAATAATGTAGGTGTTGAAATAAAAACTGAAAAAAACGACGTTGAATGTGAATGTGTCTCAAGCAAGTCACAGGTCTCTGCAAGGTGCTTTTTTATAGTGAACTGAAAATAACTGAAACCTTTGCGTATCCGGTGAAAACAGTAATCTAAAATCAAGTTTTTCAGAAAACTAAAGCACATTCCTTTTTTAGGTAGTGGGTTAAAACATGCAAAACAACTGGAATGACCCTTTAGGAAAATCCTTTACAATTCACTGTGTTAAATGCTCTGTCTAATTGTTCACTTGCAATGTTAAAGGTATCAATCTATGTATGTGTGCCAAACATGATAAATGTGCATTGGTCCCGGTTTTGGTCCAGTTATGTTTGAAAACAGTCAGGTTACATTTCTCCAGATGGCCAAGGTAAGAGTCAGGAGAAGGAGTTTCTTGGAGGAGGGTTTAGGGGTTGTTATTGATGATCTGCCTGGCTTGTCCGTAGCCTGTCATTCCAGCTTGAGATGCTCCCTTATTTGTGCCCATTTGCAGGCCGATAACACACTTGCCTTCGGTCAGCTGTTCCTCTGAGAAATCTCTCCTGTTCTCTTGGGCTTTCCTGCACACATACAGACATATCTCAGTCCACAATCTCACTCCTTAGCACCGGAATAAAACCTATTTTGTTTTACCAACAAAGAGAGAAGAGACACATTTCTTCTATTGAGGAATCTCACCTGTGGAACCAGCTGGGGTCTCCTTTGTAACACCCATCGTCCTTTGTGATGGCCAAACAGCCCAGAGCCATCAGGGTCCTCTGCACGGCAGCCAGGTCCTTGCCTGAAGACATGCAACAGTCCCACATGAACAGAGCACACACCAAATACAGGGAAGGGGGCAGTGGCCTGTGCTGTACACCACTGAATAAGCTCCATTCTCCTTGCTTATAGGTATATTATTTTATATATATATATATATATATATATATATATATATATACACAATAAGGTACATCTGCCACACCATTAAAGTGTGACACTACAGGCAATAAAACATTGTTTTTTAATGCAATGGTTCATTTTGAGTATTGGCTATTCTGAGCCTTTAGCATGTCTTCTTTCTGACAAATGGAAAGAAAAAAAAGACATTAAAGTTCATTTTGCTTCACTTTTCTATATGTGCCTTAACATTTCTGCAAAAATAACCTTAATATTATTCTCAATTTGTATTTTAAAACATAACATTTCAGGAAACTTGTCATACAAAACATGTCTTCTTCATATTGATGTGTACTATACAGAATGTTTACCCTAAACAGTTATACTATCTCTAATTACTCTGAAGTGCGGCGGGATGTCTTACCTTCAAAGAGGTCAACAGTCTGAAATATGTCCGTTTTGGTGATTCCATAGTCTTCTGCAGCTTTGAGAAACATGGATATTTGTTCCATCTGCTTGAACACCATGGTGGACTTCTTGATGGCCCTGATGGGCTTTTTGGCTCCGAACAGGGTATTAATGAATTCACACAGCAGCTAGATGAAGCAAAGGTGCATTATTAGACAATGGGTTCATCATGTGTAAATGCCCCACCACTTTTCCTACAAACGAGGAAGACACAAAGTGATTGTAGTTGTTTTTTTACTGTTGTCATTTTGTTTCTCTTTAAAGTCCATTTTTGTGTCATTGTTTTCAATTTGTTTCTTTTTGTAGTCATTTTGTGTCCCTTAGTAGTTGTAAGTTTGAATCTCTTTGTATTCATTTTGAATCTTTTTGTAGTAATTTTGTGTCCCTTAGTAGTTATAACTTTGAATCTCTTTGTAGTCATTTTGAATCTTTTTGTAGTCATTTTGAGATTCTTTGGAGTAATTTTGTGTCTTGTTGTCTTTTTGAGTCTTTTTGTAGACAATTGAGCCTCTTTGTAGATCTCTGTAAACACAGTACTGTACACAATGCAGATCTATGTTTACACCTATATGCAAACTGAACACTCACACATCCATCCTTCAGCCAGTTTTGGAATCCGGTCCTCCCTGGCTCAGGCCTTTCCACGCCCGAGCCACACTGGGCCATGATCCACTCCACCAACCTCTCCTCCAGCTCCTGGTCATACTTCTTATCAATCTTGTTCTGCACCTCCCGGGACAAACCAAATTGAGGACCTTTGTTGGACATGTTGACCCTGTTGGGAGGGAAGATTTGTGTTAGATACACAGGTAGCTGAGCAAACTGTACTCCTTGGCAGCAAATTCTGTCCTTTCAAAATGGATATTTAATATATGACAAACCATTCAGAGTGAAGTCCCTGCCCTATCCAGACCCACAGTCCTGGCCTGCGGTCAGAACAAATTGTTTCTGCCTAATGCGTGTGTTAATGTGTTTCTATTGTGAGTTAGACCTTGTTTTTTGGGAACGTATTGATTTAAAATGTTCAGAATATGTTTTTCTGTTTTTGTTTAACTTGTCCTCACATGTTCCAAGAGCAATTTTACTGTTCAAACCGTTGATCATTGATACCATTGTTATATTTGTGAGTTCAATATGAAGCTAAAGTCAAAGGCTGGTTAGCTTAGCCTGGCATTAAGACTGAAGAAAGGGGAAACAGCTAGCCTAGCTTTGTCTGAAGTTTGCTAACCAGAACCTCCAAGGGTCACTAAACACATTGTGTGTTCAATCACAGGAAAAGCCTAAGTGTACAGTTAACTCTAATGTACTGCTCCAAATCAAACAATAGCACATAAGCCCTCAGAAAACACTAGATTGTAATCATTCAATTCTTTTTTTTTTGTATGAGCTAAAGAGGTGCTAGTATGCAAATTAACCTTTGCATCCAAACCACCGTTTTGTACCTGTTTCCATTTCTTATGCCAAGCTAAGCTAACCTTCAGGTGGTAATGATCTTTTTATCTAACTCTCCACCTGAAAGTGAAGGCAATAGGGATATAATCCAAATAAGAGTAAAGGACAGAACAAGGACATACACAAGTGAGTGTGCCTTTTATAATACATTAAGGTATGTAATTCTAATGGAGTCCGTCATCTTCTTTATTTATCATGACGCTACAATTTGCACATTTAATAACTACCTCGTGAAGTAAACAACCACAGATTGAAGCTTTGAAATGGCATTATCCTCACCATGTCAGTGTCTCCATTTAACAAAGACATTTTGTACCATGGATGTTGAACAATGCTTAATGTCTTGAAGAATTACTACCCTGCTGTTAGTCATTATGGTTGGCCTATCTCACGTATTAATGCAGTCTGAGCTTCCTGTTGGCTTCAGCAGAACTGCCTCGCACCCTGCATCCTGTTTGCTCATTCGGCTGTCACTTCCTTCCTCCCTCCCTGACAAAGGTAGCTACAGAATGTGTGTATACTTGACTCTAAACAAAACAACACACTGCTGATCACTATGGGAACAATCTTTAAGCAGGAAAAAAAACCACGAAGCCTGTTAAAACATGAAAGTTCAAGACGTACGTGTTAACCACCATGCTGCAGCTATTTTGCAGATCTGATTATTAGAGTTATGCAAGTCACTCACATTTCCGAAGAACTAGGGAAGTGTATTCAAATCTTTAGGTGTTTTTAGCTGATAGGAAAATCATCTTGATTGCCTTTTCTTTCTGCCAAATATACAAACACATTTTTGGTACTGTATATGTTCTGCCCTTCGGGGAAACTGTACTAGTTTGTTGCATTTGATTCATGTTCATGTTAGATTGTTCAAAAATCTCAGATTTATTATACAGATAGATATGTTCATCTATTACATATCTTGCAAAACAGAGGCTTCTCAGTTTTAAACAATATGTGGTAATGGTATGACAAATCTTCCTTGTGTCTAACAGTCCCACACTGGAGCCTGTGCTGCCATAGATCACACTTGTGGCTCTGTTCATTGTCTAAGGTTGCAGTGGTTAAGTGGAGAAGCAGCTACTTCCTGTCCGCTGAGTGACTCCAAAACCAGTTTGCGACAACATGAGCAAAGTAAATATCTAAACACTCGATAACCTCTTTCTCAATTGCATGAGGACTGCCATCTGTTTTGTCCTGGCACGCCCAGAGAACATCTAGCAGCTGCAAACATCTAGATTTTTTTCTGGGAGTTTCATGAAGTCAAAGTATTTGTTCTTTTGGATTAGGTGTAACTTGCACTCTGATCTCTGGACTATACATGTCAACTGCCGATTGGATCATAACTCTGTAACTCTGCACTGATATCTACCATTTGTGGCACAGATTTTTACTTTCAAAGTGACTTTTAAGGTGTGAACTAGCATAATAGCACAGCCATTCAAAGGCGAGTGTGTAATAGGGTTTGAGTGCATGTTTTGGAAGATTGTGTGGACATGTAGACTTTAGAAATGAACTAGGAGTGGCAGAGTACTCAATGGGAACATCTTGTAATCATAGAGTAGCAGCTACAACACCCCACAAAAACCATTGCGTCATTAAACAGAGATGTGTGTTGTTATTAAACTTGCTCAAACATGCTCTGGCAAAGAGTAACTAAAGTAACACGTTTTCATTTCCTACCCACATTTCTTTAAATGAGTGTCTTTAGTTTCCACATCTAAATTAATGTGTCTTAATATGTTGTAATGAATTATCCTACAACATACACTTTTGATCTGCGTACTTCAATGCTTCAGCGCTCGACCTGTCATCACATGGCTTACAAAGTTTTACTGTTTGACTAATATAATATACGAATTACTGTATACAGTAAAGAGTTTATTATAATTGCCACACAGTTAAATTATGGAAGTCTATATATAAAGCTTACTATACACCAGTTGCATTAACAACTTAACTGAAGATGTTTGTCATTTTGACCACAGCCAAAAGTCAAACAGTCCGCCTACGCTGCAGTACAAACCACACTGATAGGTTTTCTTTTTTATCTTTTCTTTTTGGCGGCCTTTCTCGAAACAACAGTGAAATAAAAAACCGCTGCGTACTGATGTGGCTGACTTTCACAAATCCTCTGCTTTACCTTACTCAGTCCTTTATATCTCTTCCCTCATTACACTCATCTGCTCCTGTGGGTCATTAGAGGGTTAAGTGTTGTACTCAGATGCAACTCCAGTTATTATTTATATATTTGTCGTATCCCACCCCGCACAAATTCTCCACTTTGTATCATAGTAACTCGCAGTCATCCGTTCAAGATGTTTCACAACATTCTTGTTATTGCGACAGGCCTGCGTAAAACTGCATCATCGCAGTTATTTTCTGAGTCAACTCAACAGCATCAAAACTCATCATATTTGCTTTTTGAGTCATTTCGCAAAAGGCTAAAGGGTATTTGGTAAGTTTTGTGATGTGAACGCAATGGATTAACGATACTTGAGCAGCTGCTGCTGACTGTGAATTCATCTCTGTATCTATCAGTTTATCACTGAAGATAGTGAGAACAGTCACAGCCTTCAAGTTATGTCACATGCATAGAGCGCTCGCCTACACATAAAACTGTACCATGAACCATAAAGGAACAACATATGTGATGCACACATACGCAGTTTAACTGCCATATCCTGAACCAGCAGCCTGGTGCTCACAGCATACATTAAACTTGAAAATGACATATTATTAGAGCATACTGGTTACATGTTGAAAGCTCTCTTATTAGAGATTTAACTACAGCCTGAACCCATGAAGCTATGAGGCCTCACACTGTAAGTGCTGAAACTAAAGGTAGATAAGAAACAGGATTATATAACACAGGAATGTACAAACTAGTGGGCTGTTCAGAAATCATCTGTTCCACACAGAAACACACACAAAAAGAACAAAGATCAAACAAGAGTAAGAGGGAAGGAGACAGGGAGTGAGGGGAGGGTGTGTGATACATTACAGTCCTTTTTTTCTTGTTTCCTGCTTTGAGTTAGCCTAACAAAGAAGCGAGAAACCAGAAAGCTGAGATTGTTGAATGAGGCTGAGAAAAAACAACAAGAAGCGTTTACTTACGTTGTGTAGTAGCTTTCAGGTGAATAGGTGTGTTCTTTCTCGCGCTTCTTCTTCCTTATACACAGTACAGAGTGCACCACTCAGGACGGCCAACACAAATACAGCAAACACCCTCGTCTGTAATATATGACTTCACCACATTCAAAAGACAGAGAGAGAGAGAGAGAGAGAGAGAGAGAGAGAGAGAGAGAGAGAGAGAGAGAGAGAGAGAGATGCCTCACATCCTCTTATTTCACTCTAGGGCCCGCCCCTTTGCTCTTTCTCCCTGTTCCTCACTCAGATTGTAATTCCTTATTTAGGAGAAGGCCGGGAAGGAAAAAGTGGGCATGTGACCGGGGAGTTTGGTGTGGTCACTGAAAAGAATTCTCCAAATTTCTCCCTCCACCACTAAAGAATGAGACAGGATTAAGAGGGAGGGATGATAAAAAATCCTGGAGAATATTGCCCAGGAAGGGAGTTACAGTAATTAGAGAGCAGTGAGGCACGAGTAGGAGTTTATGTATTGCCTTAATTCAAACTGGTTTTGTTTGTTTGTCTGAAATAAACAGGCAGCTGTTGAATGCAAATCTCTTCCTCTCTGTTGAGTTTCATGCTGAGACACAAAGAGGAGGTAAACAGGTCATGACACGTCACAGCATTTCTTTACCTAATAGTTGGATATGTAAACACAGACATCTGGAAGTGACTCTTGTCCCTTTGTCATTAATTGTAGCACAGAGGTGAAAATCTAGGCGGTTTCCATGACAACAGGGAGAGACACTCCCTCAGAGGCATGTCAGGACCCGGCGGGGCTCCGAGATAAAACATCAGACGTGATAACAATGTGAGGAGCTGGCATGTGTGAAGTCATGTAGCTGAGACAGGCCATGTCAGCTTTGTTTAGTGTTATTCAACTGCAGGACTACAGGCTAATGTTTAACCACCACGACTTTAAAGAGTTAATCATTCTCACTACCTGAGTGGGGTTTCGTTGCAGAAAAACATTTCCTCTTTCCTGCGAACAAACTGTGATCACATGAGGGTTTAGGATCTTTTTTTTTTATCAAGTGAACTTAAAAAGAACTCAAAGTGATCATGAACATGTGATGGCATTTTGATTTTTAATTTATATTTTGTAGATACAGTTAATCAGAAGCAGCCTCTTATGAAGCCTTAAAATGCCTTAGTTAAAACACAAATCAAACAAAGAAAGAAGTCGTGCTGCCCTCTGTTATACAACACTGCAGTGTAACACACCTTCCTCTGACCCCTGCCAAGGAGGTTATGTTTTTGGTTCGTTTCGTTGGTTTGTCAGCAGGATTATAATAAAAAAACAAGGAGCAATTTGACATGAAACTGGGTGGAAGAGTGGAGCACGGGCCAAAGAAGAACCCATTACATTTTGGATCAGATGCACACAGTATTCTTCTCTTACGGACACAACCTTGGTTGAGGTCTGTGATCTTCGAATGCCCTTTTTCTAAATGTAACGGTTTCTCATAGCCGAAAAGCTAGATAACTGTCCTTCTAATAGACATTTGACATGTCATTATGACGCAATAAATGCATGCTTAAAAAAGGTAAATCATTTGACAATAATATTTCATTTTATCATACATTCATTGCTTTATTTTACATTAAGGAATTTTTGATCTTCAATTTTTCAGCATTTACCATTTTTATTAAAATAAGGACATTAGTGCTTTTATGTGGATTTCACTTAAGGGTCAGTTTTGATACAGTAAAGGGCTGCGATGAACAACTATTTTCATCATTGATTGTTTTAATATAATTGAAGGCTAATATAGCATACTAGTATAAAGCATAGCATAGCATACTAGGGCCCGTTCTCCAGAGTAAGCACTTTTAATTTGGATACATTTTTTGGCAATAATACTTTGGTAACTTTCATTTGGAATCTGACTTTTAACTGTAGTGGATTATTGTTACATTCAGGCATTACTACTAAATGATCTCAGTTCTTCTTCCCTGGCAGCCCATTATTGTGAATACAGTGAACCTGTTGACACTGGTGCTGTTACTAAGAGGACTGTTCATGTTCAACCTGTGATAGCTGTGTCTGTGAGAACATGGGGAAATGATCCAGCAAACTTGTAAAAAGGTGAAATACACGCAGATGAGAAATTCCACATGTGGTTGAGTTCTGGGCGAAGTGTAAACTTACACCCACCCTACCCCCTAATTTAAAGTAGGAGCAATTCCCTCCTCCTGGTTTTGTATTTATCCCACAGAGGTACCTGTTTCTGCACTTGATGGCGTCCTGCCATATACCTAAAATCACTCAAACCTTTTCATCCACAAAATGCTGCCTTTGCAGGAAATATGAATTACAGCTTGTTTTGCAGCTTTCCTTTCCAGATGCTTAGCAGCCCTCCTGAGTCTTTACAGGCTGGTCCTGCACTACAGCAACATCTGGTGGCTCAGGGGGGCAGAAAGCAGACATCCACACTTTGCCTCTTCCTCTGTGGTGTGCACTTAACTCCACTGCAGGGGTGTGCACAGCCAAATGTAGCATTATATTCCACGCTCAGCAAGCTATTCTTTAAATGTTATTTTGTTTATCAAAATAACTATTTCACGTTTAATCCTCTAGAATCAACCTTTTCCTTTGAACACAATAGTTGTATTTTCAGGTACGCACTGCTGGGTGTTGATACCCATGCTGAGAGTTGCTAATTGAGAAAGTGCTGCCTTGTGGACGCAACACTATAATGTCATCAGGGTGTGAAATCTGAAGCTGTTTCACGTAAATAGAAAATAAACACATGGAGGAGAGCAACTGAGCACTAAGGAGGATAGTCAGAGAAAAGTGAAGGTTTTTGTTGTTTGTTTTTAAGCCTGAATTATTAAAGTACAAGCCTATTTTGGGTATAAAACCCCCCAAAATGTGGATGCTCTATTTAGATGCTCCATCACATGGGTCATGTGGTTTTTGACTTTTAGATAGTTGTTAATACTCTAAGTGGTGTATGCTTTATGTGGTCAAAAATAAACATTACAATGTCTGGACAATACTCGGGCTGGTCCACTACTTTGAAACAGACTGTAATGTGAGATAGATTGACACAAAATTGTATGCAACCATTAATGCCCCTACGAAAACGTTTCATCTTTTGCCTTCATCAGATAACATTTTTAAAATGTTCCATACATGCAAAACTAATGACATTCCCATCAGCCTCAGATGGACTTTGTTTCAGTTCTAATAACAAAATTGAATGGTATACATAACATAACTTCTAAACCAGCATGTTAGCATTGTGAGGGTTTTAGCATTTAGCTTACAGAGCTGCTAGCATAGCTGCCGACACTTGTTTTTACTGGCTAAACAAAGGGATCACCATCATAAAATAAATATGTATTATATTTCTCTGCTGTGGAGATAAACACTTAACAGACATATTAAGAATATGTGATTTGTACGCAAAGGCAGTCTATTTTGTCCTTCATCCTAAAATGTCATGATGCCTATGTGAAAAACCAGAATATGCCCATGTTTAACCTTTTAGTTGAAGAATAAGATTATCAAGAGAGTAAAATCATTAACTCTTAAATGTTGGAGGCAAGTCCAGGATGCTTCTTATCCTTTTAACCTCTGTTAATGTATTGCCTTCATTCATTGTATTAGACATGGGACTGCAGGCCTTGATTATGTTTGCATATTTCTGTAAAAGCTCCTGTGGCCAAAAGCCAGCTTGAAGCTAAATGCTAAGGTGATTGTGTGCTGTTGGTCCTTGAAACTGGGTTTCCACAAACTGTGCAGCGTGTCAGCTGAAAGGAAATCATGCATTTAATATTTCATGTGCTTGTTTGAAAAGCAACCCTCAGAGAAATGTTAAAGAACGGATCTTGTGCACTGTCAATGTTGTATTAATAAACAGAAAAAGTTTTGAACCGGATGATGAGATATGTGGATGAATAGAAAAGCCTAGATTAAGACCACAGGTGGTCCAGCAGTGCCTGATCCTGGGCAGGGAACATCTGTTTGAATTCCTCATTTATTCCCAACCTTCTCTCCACTTTCAGTCTGTGAATCTGTGCCAGGTGCCCACTATACAATTATTTACAGTCTTTTGTTCTTCTTAGACAAGTGAATGCAGCAGTTTCAACCAAGACAATATTGTACAGTTTCAGAAGTTGGATGAATAACATCTGTATAGTATGACCTCAGATATAGAGAAGGAACACCTTTTTGCTTGAAAGAATATACTGAATATGACAGTAACACTGTAAAAAAAAAGTTAAAAGTACACTGTGATAGGCAGAATTTCACCACAACAACTACAGCAGGGATTTGTACTGCTGTAAAAGGACATAAGAACTCATGATTTCATGGTTAAGTTCCGAGTTAGATTTCATATTTGACCTTATAAACACACGTTCTTTTGCATGTTTTCTTACAAGAGCGCTGTAGTGTGCAGCTTGGTCCTCTTGGAGGCGATGTGTCTCAGTGTGATCGGCACCACTAAACACAATGTTCACACTGCTGACACTCAGCCTATAAACTGTGACCCCTAAATGTCCATATCAATCTTCTGCTTTTCACATCCCCCCTCTAATAATGCTTTCACACAGGAACCAGCTGTGCAGAAAAAAACATCTACAGTGCAAATCACATGTTCAAGGTGGAGCGGGTGTCAATCAAAACAGTAATCATGTAAGTACTTGTTTACATTCAAGCCCAAATCTGATGACTGTTCCCTCTTCCCTTTAGAAATGAGACTGTGTGCCAAGGCTTTTTGTAAAAACATTCAAAGCAGTGTCCCACCTGCAGTGAGAACATCTGCATTCTCTGTGACTTCAGTGCACAACGAACGCTGCTCTTTGCCAACAACATGCTATCTAAGGCAATTACAAAAAATAAGATTAGACTTCCTCTTAATTGATGTGACCTCTGTTTATTGATCCAGGAGGCAGAGGTGTATGTGTGGGGGATGGGTGCAGAGGCGGCAAATTGTGAGTTTAAGATTTGTGGGTAACCCTGTTTTTTCGGATGTTGGTTTGGACAGATCATGCTGTACAGGAGGAGATCATATTGTACAGACTGATGCACAGTTTGTGCTTTTCTGTCACATCCAGCTCCTTCCTTCCTTAAATTCAAGCATTGCAACGACTAAAATGAAATATCCTTCCTCTTTGTGTGGCTTGAGGTTTCTT